TCTGATGTTGCTCTTTGTCGCTATCTCATCCCCTAGTGGCTCACAGGAGTATGGCATCTCGAATGAAATACTGTTAGCGGTTGGTGCTAAGACTTGATTGTCTGTTCCTGTCCACCCGACAGGAACCTGGGACAGACTTCTAAGGTGTCATGGTCTTTGAGAAGGCAGCCTGAGAGCTCCCCTCCTCCAGGCTCCCTCCTGGCTCATGCAGTAGGTGAGTCGCCCTGTCCCATAGGCATCCTTTACAAGGTGCTCATTCCCGGTGGCTATGACTGTGCAGAAGGTTGTGTAGACATGGTGCAGACAGCCACAGTTGAAGATGCTGAGCTCCTAGAACTGAGAAGTAGAGACTGTGGAGCTGGCATGGCCGTGGTCGAGTTGCTGCTGAACACAAACATCGCCCCCCCCCCCCCCCCCAAGCAAGCCTCCTAAGTCAGGAGAGGTTTGCAGGAGTCTCTGCTTCTCCTCAGTACTATTGGGTCAGCTTCTGAATGCCACCTTCTGCTGGAACAACACACATTCCCCCTTCATCCTGTGACAGGCCTTCCATGCTCCAGGGTGATCGGGGACCACCCAGCTTCAAAAGTGGGGCGCCAGCAATTAGAAAGGTTTGGGACTGGGATTTTAACTCTGGCCAGGGTTGTTTTTTAACACAAAAAGGACTAATTTTCTCAGCTCCACCAAGCTCCACAGGGAGTCTACCCCTTGAGTTTGAACCTGATGTTTCCTGCTCTGGTCCTTTCTGAGGCACCAAAGTCATCCTTGAACTCTCCTTTCTTGCCATATGTCACACTCTTTGGTCACTTGGTATGGTCAACCATGCATTCATAGACTGTATTTCATGTGGTCCTCAGATCTGTTGGCTAGGAGGCTCTGACTGATGGGCATAGCAACGTTGGTACTACTGGCCTGAGATGTTGGTGGGGGTCTTTGTGGACTGAAAAAGGAGCTGCTGCTCTTGGGAAATAGACCAGGAGTAAGTCTAGTTGCCCCAGGACAGGGTGACCCAGGCAGCAGGGACTAAGGTTCAATGCATATTTCCTTCCTTTTCATCATGTTCACTGTGTTGGCTAAATTCTTTGAGTAGCTGCCTTCTTCACAGAGAGATGTCTGGTGTGGTACCAACCCTTAGGTCTCAAAGAAACCAGAGGTCCAGTCTCACTCTCAGTACCTGTGGCTCCTCTCAGAAATCCTCTCCCCACCCTCACCCTCAACCTCGGCAGCCCAGGGGCTGGGCTTTGATTCCTTCCCCCTCAGCTTCTCTTTCCTATATAAACTCAACCATTTTGGTGATGTGTTCTCTTGAGTTTCTTGGCCCCTTGGTCCTCAGCTCCCCACCCTCTTCTCCTCTCATACCCTGGTTCAGTCTGGACCCTTCCAGATACATCTGGCTGTGCTCTCCCAAATATCTACAATGAAACCTTCTCTTCAGTCTTACCTAGGAGGGGCCATGTCCTCATTTTCTTCCACCAGCCTCTGACTGGAGGACAGTTGTACCTCTCCTTTTTTTGTTTGAGATAGGGTTTGTTTGTTTATTTTTGTCTTTTTGGCTGGCTGGTTTTCAAGACAAGGTTTCTCTGTGTAACATCCCTGGCTGTCCTGGAACTTGCTTTGTAGACCTGCTTGGCCTCAAACTCAGAGATCTGCCTCCCGAGTGCTGGGTTGAAACAGGGGATTATGTAGCCCAGGCTAGCTTTGAACTCTATGATGATTTGGATTTTCCTGGTCCTCTTGAATCTATCTCCTGAGTAGCAGAACTGCAGTGTACCAATATGCCTGCTTTATACAGTACGGAGATCAAAGACAGAATCCATCACGGTGGGTAGGTTCAGGCAGCAATCAGAGGCAGATGGTCACAGTGTGTCTGCAGGCAGGAAGCAGAGTCCAGTAACTGCTTCCTAGAAATTAAACCTTCCTAGAAACCCTCTCATAGACACACCCAGACATACGTTTCCATGGTGATTTTAAATCTACCAAGCTGACATGAATATTCTGCTTCCCGAGTGCTGGGATTAAAGTCGTGTGCCACCACTGCCCGGCCTATGAATATTAACTATACTAACCAGAGTGTCTCTTAGATGGTGACCAACAGCGTTTGCCACATGGGTAATTATTGTTGTGGGCACATACAGGCAGCAAACTGAAAACTAAAACAGATAAACTAATGATGTAGAGGCATGGCAAGAGGCTATGTGAGGATTTGAACCAAGAACCAGCTCTTTCTTTCTTTATGTTTTTTGAAATAGGGTTTCTTTGTGTAGCTCTGGCTGACCTGGAACTAGCTCTGTGGACCAGGCTGGATTCGAATTCACAGATATCCTCCTGCCTCTGCTTCCCAAGTGCTGGGATTAATGCCACAGGCTACCAGAGAAGCAGCTCTTTTCTACTGCATTTTACTGACAACAAAAGTATATTATAAAAGTTCACATTTATAAACAGTATGTGGTAGTATACACCTTTAAGCCCAGCAATTTAGGAGGTGGATCAGAAGTTCAAAATTATCCTTCGCCTTATAGCAAGTTTGAGGCCAGTATGGAACACGGGAGACTCTGAGAACAAAGTTGAAAATGACCTTCTGGCTTGGTGTGGAAGTACATGCCTCAGGCTTTCTCTGTGTAGCCCTGGCTGTCCTGGAACTCACTCTGTCAGACCAGTCTGGCCTTGAACCAAGAGATTTGCCTGCCTCTGCCTCCCAAGTGCTGGGACTAAAGATGTGTGTCACCATTGTGGGTAGTGTGTTGTGTGCCTTTAATCCCAGAACTCAGGAAGCAAAGGCAGAAGAATTTCTATGAGTGTGAAGCCAGTCTGGTCTACATAGCAAGCTCTAGACGAGTCAGGACTACATAGACCTTGTCTGAAAAGAGAAAGAAAGAAGAAATGACCTTTTGATTCATTTATTTGTGTGGTATGTTTTGAGGGCCTTTTAGGTGGATTTGGTGATAGAACGGCAAGCCTTAGCCTTGAACTTCAATGAATCCGCAGCGAGGGAGTCTCTTTGTGATGTATGTGGCTTGCCACTGAAGCACAAAGCCAGGAAATGCTGGAAATCAGTTTTACCAAAAAGGCTGAGTTTTGAAGATGTTTAGAAATCTGCTCAATGAAATTAAATGGGAAAACACTCTTCTAGGCAGAGAGAAGCCATGGAAAGGCAAGTTTACATTGTACTCAAGGAACAAAGAGGAATTTAATAGAGTCAGAAAGTTGTGAGGTCAGGAGGAGGAGGGAAAACAGAAAAGAACTGCGGACTGTTTCCCAGGAGCCCTGCGTTCCAGGCTAAGGACTTGTTCTTTATCCTGTAGAGCACCTGGAAGACTTAAACAGGCAAGCAAAGCAGTCTGCTAGGGCTGGTTTAGGGGACACTGTAATAAACCCAAGCAAACAGGATCGATTAAAGCTGTGGGGGGAGGGTCTGCCAAGGCCAGATACAAACATGAAAGAACAGGGAGGTGCCTGCCTGGCGTTGGCACCAGGTCCCATTGTATTCACAGCCTGTGCAGGGTCATGAGAAGGTCATGTGCAAAGATTATGTCCATCAGGATACCCATGCTAAAGTATTTAACGAGTGCTCACCATATTCTAGTTCTCTACTCAATGGGAGCTCCCTTTTATTTAATTCCTACCGAAAAGTCATAACAAAGCTATTTATAGGCTATTTATAGAAAATGGCCGATATCCAGCACGTTTAACATATGAAATCAGCTGAGAACACCTGGTGGTGCAGAAGCTTGGTATAAATCACATGTCTCACGAATCAGGACTCAAACCCAGATCTGTCTGCAGAATGAACGCTGAATTCACATTTTGCCTACCACCTACTAGTTGTGTGTTCTGAGATGCACATCTTACTCGTTGAGTCTGTTTTCTCACCTGTAAAATAGAGATAAGAACTGAACACGTGGCCAAGTGGTGGTGGTGGTGGCGGCTGCAGTGGAGGCAGCGCATACCTTTAATCCCAGCACTTGGGAGGCGGAGGCAGGAGAGTTCGAGTCCAGCCTTATCTACAGAGTGAGTTCCAGGACAGCTAGGGCTACATAGAGAAACCCTGTTTCAAAACAAAAAGACCTTGATAAGTTGCTGGACATTAATCAGTGGTTAAACCAACTGAGCAGGCAAGGAGACGCTGCCTCAGAGGACCCAGGTTCCTCTTTCCCCTTCTGACCCAGGTCTGTCTTCACATGGGGCCCTCTGACTATTTCCATCTCCTTGCCCATGAAGCAGGTTGCATGGTGCATGCTTGGAAGCAGGACCCACCTCTCTTCTGTCTTCAATGGGCCCTGCCACCTTGGCACCTGGTGTGTGCACACACTCATCTGTAGCCTTCTGGATTGGGCTACACGTTTCTGAATTGTGAGTGCCCAAAACAGTGTCTCTGGCCCACCTACCTCTATGTTGGCTTGGGACTGGAGGTGGCACTTTGCTCCATACCCCACACCTGAAGTGACAACCCACAGTTCTGTCTGTGGCTCAGAAGTTGCAGGACAGCTAAACTCCAAGTTTTTCTCAGGGCTTTAGGATGCTCTCAGGTCCTTCTGGCATCATCTGCCCTGTTGCCTGCCTGGGCTCTCTCCCAGGACCTGGTTGCCCCTATTGCAGGCATGCAAAAAAAAAAAAAAAAAAAAAAAAAAAAAAAAAAAAAAAAAAATCGCCCAGGATCCAGACAGCCTCACAACACTAATGTTGCTTTTCCATTTTCCTGGAAACTTCTATAGCTGCGGCCTGGACAGCATCCAAAAGTTTCCCCGAACTAAAGATAACAACAACAACAATAAGTTTTTAAACATTTAGAGAGGCGAAGGAAGAGAGACCCTAAGGCAAATGTCCCGGTTGATTACTGCTCAGCGAAACGGATTCTGAGGCAGGGACAGAAAAGGGAGGACCGTTTCCAGGTCACATTCACATTGCTTTTTTAAAAGACAGTTTCAAAACAGTCGACCTCCCTGGGGCAATTAAGAAAAAAAAAAAAAAAAAAAAAAAAAAAAAAACCAAAAAGGAAGGCAAAAGCTTCCCTCTCCTCCCCCATTTGGAAAGTTTTCTCAGCAGAGGCCTGAGCACATTCCTGACTTCTGGCTCAGGGAAGGACTTTCCCAACCTTCCAACATTCCGGGCCCTCACTCACCCTGCTGACCTACCAAGAGTTCTGCTTGCTCCACCCCAAACAGCTGCATTCCAGCTGTGGAGTTCTTATGAAACTGCCAGGAATCCTAGGGCTGCAAGGTAAGTGAGGAGGCTCCTGACAGCCCTTCGGAAGTCTGGAAACCCGGAAGCCCTGGAGCTGAGGCTGGCTATCCATGTTTCTATAACTCCACAGGCAGGGTGGGCTGTTGACTTAGGGAAAACAGGATTCTAGGAGGTCTTACAGAGATTAAAGGTCATGGCCAGCCTGATTCACCCCACCCCTATATGCACCTGGCAATGCAAAAAGTGAAATTCAAATATTTCTTTGGGAAGATTAAAAACTATTTCTATTTATTCATGAGTTCTGGGTTGGTTTTTTTTTTCTTTTTGCTTTTTATGATGTATTATTTATGTGTATGTGTGTGAGCACACATACCGCCAACAGAGGCCAGAGGGGGAAGGCATTCCTTAGACAGTGGTGAGCCATTTGATACATACGGGTGCTGGAATTGAACTCAGGTCTTCTGGAATCCCTGAACCTTCTCTCCAGCCCAAGCTCTGGGCAATGGTGGTGCAGGCCTTTAATCCCCAGCACTTGGAAAATCCCAGAAGCAGGCAGATCTCAGTGAGTTTGAGGCCAGCCTGGTCTACAGAGCAGTTCCAGGACAGCCAGGACTACCCCACAGAGAAACCCTGTCTTTAAACAAAAACAACAACAAAAAAGCACAAGGTCTTGCAAGAAGCAAGTCTCTGAGGCTGGGAAATGTAGCTCCATGGTAGCCTCTCTCCCAGCATACCTGAAGCCCTAGGTTCAATCCTCAACACAACAGAATGCAAACAAAATATACAAGTCTGTGCAACTACACAGTAAGCAGAAGCTTAATTTGGAAATTTGCCCCTTCAGGACTCGGTGATACAAATTTGGACTTCAAGGTCTGAAAGCCTGAGGCAGAAAGCTGGGCTACAGAGGGAGACCCTGTCTCAGCAAAATGGTAGGAGTGATCTTGCTATATGCTAGAGTATGTAGGAAGCAGAAGGTTAATTGAAAGTGAGATGACTCCCATGATGCAGTTCCATGATGGGGTGGGGCTTTGCAGTAATACAGCTGTTTTGGGGTCACCCACACTTATGTAAATAATCTTTTACCCATGCCCTCTAAGTAAGCCCAATAAATTCATTGCTACACACACACACACACACACACACACACACACACACACACACACACACACACTTAATTTGCCAATGGCTCTGGATTACTCCTGGGAGGTGACAATGGCTCTGCTAGAAGCAAAAAAGGGAGTGTCGGTCTCCTTGTAAATTCCATGCCCTCCTAAAAATGGTGTCCCTGCCTGTGGATTCAGATGAGGAAGGGGGCCTGGGAGGCTCACCAGAGTCCTTTAAATATGTAGATGTTGGCCAGACGGGGCAGAGCTGAGCAAATGGCTTTTTAGGCAGCTGAGGCCCTCAGCTGCTGTCAGCACAACTGTCACCAAGCTCCCTTGGTTGGGGTGGCAGGGCAGGGGAGCTGGAGCCCTGATATTATTATCATCTGGGGCTGCAGGGTGGAAGCTGGGGTTAATGGAGTTACTGCTCTACTTGGTTTTAGAATAGTGGCAGCGGCTGGCCTGACTCCACGCTGGCTGATTATTCTGAGATTTTGAGAGCCTATGCCCTTTCAGCAGGACTGAAGGCCCCTCAGACACATAGCAACAATTAATAGCCATGGGTACGCTTTGGAAGTCCATCCTCATCTACAGTTATGCTACCCAGTATGTGCTCCATCTTAGGAGCTAAGCAGGGTTGGGCCTGGTCAGGACACAGGATGAGAGACTCCATTCTCCAAAGAGAGGAGCCTTCTGCAGTCTTCCATCAGCTCCAGGGCCTGGAAGTAAGTATGAGGGAGAGGAAGAAAGTAAGTATGGAGACGATCAGGCCAAATAGCTATATAGTAAAGTGTGTCTCTTCTTATTCCCTTCTGCTGCTGCTCCCACTTCCAAATATTCCCCTTTGTTCTCCTTTTGTCCCACTTACCCATGAACTTCCTATTCTGGTCCTTTCAGAATACAGTCTACAGCATTACCCATGCAAGCTATACTTTCCCCCAGCCCTGACAGTATCCCTTGAGCCCTTGAGACCCTAGAAGGAAAGCACCAGGAAATCGTAAAATAGTCTCTCTCCAGAAAACAATGGCTTCCGAGGTCTGTGGCAGACACACTCACAACCCCAGAAATAGTCTCATTGTCCTCTTGTGCAATATCCAGGAATTTGGTGAAACTCATCATTTTTCAGGTTACCGATAATGCAAGTTTGGAAAGTGAAACAGGAAGAACACAGGCTGAGAAAGCTTTTATCCAGCCACAGAGTCTCTCTCTCTCTCCAGATGCAAGATAGGTTTTTTTTTTTTTTTCAGCAGTTCTTTGGTGGGGTTAAAATTAGCTGGCAGCATTCTGGTCACATGCAGACAACAAAACAAAAGGGAATTGTTCCCCCAGACACTCCTAAACTAGCCCCACAGACCCTCCTAATCCATGGATTTCTGGGATCTGGCTCCCCCCTGGTATAAGAGAGGCCACACCACAGACTGCCCTCTGGGATTGCCCTTGCTGGAGCAGAGTAGAGCAGAGTGAGTGTTAAGGCTTTTTGGAATCCTGAAGCTTGCCTTGCTTGGGAAGGCACTCTGGGACTCCAAATTGGCTTTTGCAATTCTTCTCCCAGAAGCCAGCAAATAAGTAAACATCACGAGGACTTAGGAAGGGCAACACTGAAGGGTGACCATGGTACCCTTTGCCTTTTGGGACAACTGGATGTGGCTGTCAGAATGAGAATGTGAAAGGAACACGCCCAAACTCTAAGTGACAAGGACTTCAGACAGGATTCTTTATCCCTGGGCCCTGATGACAGGACATGTCAGTATCTGCTTCCAGTTTAAAACTATCACCAGCAGCTCAGAGTTAAAAATATAGCATCTGATTCACGCATAGTCAGGAAACATGGCTGTGCTCAGTACAGAAACATGTCCGTCAACCTGGGAAAGGAATCACCGCCACGAATATGCTCCTAGCTTGCCAAAGCTTAGCAGCTGCAAGAGCCAAAAACCCAGCTGCCTGGACCGTCTGGGGAAAGGGGGATTCTGAATCACCTGACTTCTTCAGCTCCAGTGTAATTCTAAGCCAGAACCATCTTGAGATGTCTCAAGGGCCAATTTCTCCTTAAAATTGTGTCTGAACACAATTCTGGATCTGCTAGTGAGGTGAAGCAGATGGCTTTTATTGATTATTTATTTGGAAGGGGTATTCAGGAATTGGAAAATTCCATTGAGATCAAATACATGGCCCTGCCAAAAACAAAATACAATGCCCCCCCCAAAAAAAAAAGTAAAGGCAAAGGCAATCATGAACAGACACCCAGAGAGCTGGGTTCAAAGGCACCACAGGTAAATCCCATCAAATGAGACAGGTCTAGTCTCTTGCCTATGTGGACTTCCATGGTAGTCTTCCTTTGCTTGAAACCAAAAAGGTCTCTGAGTCTGATCTCCTCTTGAAACCTCATTATACAGACAGACCTAAGTACAATCCTTCCCTCAGCTAGCATGCAAAGACCTCTTTAATGAGCAAGCACCACGCCCCCACCCACCCAGAGGAATAGCCTCAAGGTGTTACAAGTACATAGAGGTCTGAAAGCTGAAACCCTGGATAAACAGTTCACTGGAATATATTTAGCAGAAAATATTGAAAACCACAGAGAAAAATATGCCCCCCCTTTCTGGGATATTAACGAAGGTTTATGTCTAGGAAGCCTTCTGGAAATAGTGAGCAAAAAAGAAATACTGCTCACCTCTTCCACCCCAGGGTAAATAAATCATGAACCCTCTTTGGTTTCCATAGGCTTGGCTGGGGGATTTAATTTTTTCCCCATTAAACAGGCCACCCGGAGAGTTGGCATTATAGACCTGAAAATATACCAGATCTTGAACACACTGTGTTGTTTCTGTACATTGAATCAGGTTGTGTTTCAAATGGCAGCTTGTGCAAGATGGGGGGAGGGGGGACTGTGATTATCCGGGCTAGTGCACCCTCACACGAAGTCACCTGAAATTGCAGCATAAATGACAGATGTTTCACCTTGACTCACCCAATGTCTTGTCTCTGACAGGAACCCGTCCTCTATCTTTGTTGCCCAAGCTGATGTCATGTTCTAAGGGGCTGGATTTGCTAAGCTGCAGCAAAATGCCTTCCTGCAGAAGGACCCAGACTGCCTGCAGTGTGGGGCGGGGACCTGAGAAACAAGGCAAGGACAGGCAACTACTCTCCCTAAGATGGAGGCTGCATGATGTAAGTGGCTGGCTAAAATATCTGGCATGCTTGCAGTTTTAAGTTGCCAGCTAAATATTATTAAAAAGATAAAATACACGCAAACTGTGCAGAATGTAGGGCTGCTGTGTTTACATCCGGGTTTTGATGACTCAAAGCCTTACACTTGGGCTTGCTGAAAAGCTCTATTAAAAACACAGCTTTCGAAAAGCCTCCGCGGAGCAGAAGGACTCGGGGGTGGTAGAAGGATGGTAACCCCACCCCCACCCCAAGATGCTGTTCAGCTCTGTGTTCCTGGCAAGCATTTAGGGCCGGGGAAGTCTTAAGGGGTTAAACCTCCTTTCAGTTTGCAAACCAGAGCCGGGAGGGTTAACCTTTTTCCAGAACATTTATTTCACCATCTCACTGACTAGAAGAAGGAGGGGCGGGCAGGCAGGCGGGCGGGAGGGAGGGAGAGCCTGCCGCGTTGAGAGGCTGCGGATCACAAGGCCATTCTGATAGCCTCCTGTCCCCATGGCAACTGCAACGGCATTTATCAGTTCCTTCTGCGCACAGGCACCGCAAATCTGCATTGCACATGGCAGGCTTCCAGCATTTCAAATGAAAGAGCACTTTGAACGGCTGCCAAGTTTGGAAGGAGCAGAACTGTCAGGGCTGCTTAAAGCTGGCAGTTTATACTGGGGAGGTTTTCACTTCCCAGAATCCTCCGGGCTTGGCGAGCTGCCAAGTACTTAGCGGAAGCTAAAAAGTAACTCGCTCCCTCCCCTCCTCTTTCTCCCTCTGCTCGCGCTCCCCCCACCCTCCACACCATTCACCGCAGTGCTCTCAAAATTTTCCACATGTCCTGTGTCACCAGTGCAGACTGTACAATGAGAACCAGAACACCGGCTGCCCACGATCAGGCTTTTCTCAATAATGGGGGTTTAGGGTGGGGTCAGACACGGCCCCGGGTTGGCCCCTGCCATAACCCCATAACCGCTGAATGGGAACACATAGTGTATGTGCCTTTCAACCTTTAAAAAAAAAAAGTACATTAATAAAAATAAAAAAGCAGCTTCAGAATCAGGGACACCCTAAGTACTGGGTGCGGTAGGGAATGGGGGTGGGGGTCGCTAGGTGGATAGATGGCGTGGAGCTTCATGGGGTGGGGTGGGGTGGGGGGAGTCTTGGAAACGGAATACAAAATGTCCACATCTAGCTTTTCTAAGCCGTGGGGAAGGGGATTGTTACTGAGTGCTCAACTGTTTCTGGAGCTTTCTTCCATCTCTCAGATGTCACCATTAAAGCTCAGAAGCCAGAGGTGGGGAGGGAATTGGGAGGCGGGTTTTCAATGCAAAGTTTACCAGATAACTTTTGACCATGCACACCACCTAAGAGCACCCAGAGCACCCGGGCTTCTACTGGCAGAAAGTGGAAACTGGCACCATTTTCACTGTGCTAATTTTTTTTTCTTTACATGAAAATCTACACTGAGATCAAGGGCTTGGGCTTTATTTCCTTCACAAATAGAACAAAAATTGTCTGCCGCTTAGGCGGTTGGATAGAGTTCAGGAAAACTATGTCTGGCATTAATTCCAAAGTGGAGGTTTTGGTTCAAGTGAGGCCCATTAATTTCAGTAAACTGTTTTCACTAGTCCAGACCCTGCTGTGCGAGGACTATTTATTACCTTTTGCTAACCTGATGTCTGCTGAGTTGCAAAGCAAAGGGGAGGGGAAGCCTGGGGTGGAGATATCTCTATCTTGGATCAAATGGGTTTGCACCTTCCCTTAGGGGGTCATGTTTAATAGTGAGTTTTCTATCCCTTCCTTTTCTTTATCAGAGCTTTTAAAAAATCCATCTTGCAATGAATTACAGAAAAGCAAATCCGATGGAGAGGATCTGGTGAGAGCAAACAGCCATCCCTTCCCCGTTCAGAAGGGCCCCTCCCAGCCACAGAGATGCTTCTGTGCCTGTCCCCTCTTCCAGGCTGCAGGTCCAGGGCAAAGCCCTGACATGATTCACCCTGACGATTGGGTCTAAATCCACCAAGACAGTCAATTTTGGCATTCGTTCTCCCTTAGGAATTTTACTAGCCGTCTGAAAAAAGCACATAAATTATCCCCCCTCTTTTTTCCATGCCTTCTCCTTTATCGCCCCCCCATCACCCCTCCCCAGTCCATCTTGATGTCATTTCAAAGAGAGGGATGAAAAGAAGGGAAAGAAGGGATTTGTCAGGCAGTCCAGTTTGTGAGTGTGTCTTGCCAGGCCCCAACACACACACACACACACACACACACACACACACACACAAGCTGAAAATGTTACTAAGAATTAAAAGCAAGTCAGTACTATGAAAGCATCAAATCCGAAGTTGAAAGAGGGGGACTCAGAGAAAGAGAGGGGGTGGGGTAGCGGAGTGGGAATGAAACACAATTCGGTCCTTTAGGTTGAGAAGGAAAGAGGCGTCAGTAGCCCCATTTGGTCAGCTTGTCAAATGTCAAATTCATTGGTCTTTCCTTTTTAACTACTCCCCCTCTCCCTGCCCCGCCCTAACAGTCAAGTTTGGTGAGGTTCCCAAGTGTGATTAATCTTTGGCAGAGGCCAGAAACAGGAGTAGGCTTCTTGGCTGCCCGTCCTGATAAACAATCTGTTCTTGGGAAGAGTAGGTGAAGGGGGCTGAGGGAGGTAATCTGCGGGCACGGAGGTGGGGGTAGGAGTGAGAGGAGGGGGGACCAACGCGAGGCCCACCCTCCTGGAGGAATGCAAGTGCCCCTCCTCCGGGACCAGTGGTTTAGGGGTGGGTCAGGTTTCCTGCCCTTAAGAATGTAAGTAGACAGTGGTTCCTTTCTTGCTGCCAGTCCCCAATGCCCAGGGCACGTCTCTGGGCCACCGAAGGCTCAAAGGAGGGGAGGAGAACGAAACCCGTGCGCCCCACCGTTTAGGACCATCTGCAAAGCCGTGCTCTAGGCGCTACGACCCCATCCCCCAGCGAGTGTGCGCAGAATCTACTTGCGATAAAGGGAAACCAAGGCAGTGTTAAAGAAAGCCGAGGTGGGGCAGCCGCTGTAGAACTTACTATAAAGCATAACGGGGAAAACCAGACTCTGGCCAAAACAAAAGGAGAGACTATTTGGCTTGGCGGAGTCGGAAGTCGCTGAGATCGAAACTCCGGAGGCAAGAAAGCTGGCTATGAATGTTGCAGCGGGAATACTGTGTGAGCAACCAGGCAGAAATCGGCAATATGTAAAAGTGGGAAGGGGGAGAGAGTGGGCGGAAAGGCAAATCAGTGTCTAGAAGGCTTTGCACGGCTGGGAAATGTCACCAAGGAGAGCGCAATGGCACCGAATAAAAGATGAATGATAGGCTACCTTTTGGAAAACGAATATAAAAATAAGAAGAAAGGTGAGAAGTCCGCCTCTTCGCTGAAAAGCAGATCCATTCCTCACCGATTGCCTTCCAGCCCCAACATACAGGCAGCTCGATTTCCTTTGGACTTAATTACATGAAAATGCTGAACAAAACTTGTAATTACACCCTTAGTCCCTGCCACTCAGGCCCTGCACACTTCCTGCCTAGTTTTGTTTTATAAAGAGGAGTCATTGCCTCTTTCTTTCCAAATTGGCCAAAACAACAACAAAAAAAGTAAAGGCACCAAATAAATCTCTAACAGCTTTGAGTCTTCATAGTCATTCCCCAACACACACACACACACACACACACACACACACACACACACACAAGGAATCCGGGAGGGGAAATCATCTCCCTAGGAGAGCCCAGAAGGAAGGACCCAACTATGCTATTGTCTTGCTCTGACTCCAGGGCTGAGAGACAGTTACTGCTTAGATTGTCACTCCAACACAGAGGTGCTAGGCTGGTCACCCAGAGGAAACCTTCCAAGGACCAGACAAAGAGTGTGGACAGGGTGTATGTAGCATTAGGCTTGGCTTTCCTCTTGCTCCTGGAAGGGTTCAGTGCTGCAAGAGATCGGGGTCAGGACTGGCCTCTTTTACAGCCCTGCATCACAGAAGGGATCTTACAAGGAGGCTCTGCAGGAAGAGTGTGATTTAAGATGGACATTTGACAGGTGAGAAGCCAGAGCTCAAGAGAAGAAACAGATTGCCTCGGAGTCAGGCATGCTGCTGCAGGGAGTCTTGAACAAGCACTGCTGCCTCTTAAGGCTTTGGGGGCTAACTGCATCAGGAAACTAGGACACCTAGGAGAAAATGGAAGCGGTTCCATTCTGGGCTGGACCCATTCTGGCTTATTTTCATCTTCAGATTCCCAGCACTGAGACAGAAAGTGCTAAGAACCAGGCCTGATCAATCCATAGCCACTGTGGAAAATGAGGCAGAAAGACCACAGGGTCGAAACCTATTTGGGCTACAGGATGAGTTCAAGGCCTGGCTGGACAACTTCTCAGGAGCCAGTGTAAAAATAGAAAGGGAGCTAGGGATGTAGCTCAGAGATAGAGCACTGCTTAGCATGCTCCAGGCCCCAGGTTCTACCCTCAGCCAGAGGCTGGGTAGTGCTCTCTAGGTAAATATGTCAAAACCCTCTAGGCCATGGGACAGCCAAGTTTCAGCACACTTGGGTAAAAACAGATGATAACTTCTAGGTCTAGAAAGAGGCCTTTTCTATTATAAAAATCCATGCCCCTTGTTTTCCTCCTTCGCCTACATGGTTCACTGGGCTCTTCTTCAACCCCTTTTCCTTTCAGTGCTGGATATCCAGACTCAGGGCTTTGCATGTGCTAGGCAAGGCTTCATCTCTCAGCTGCATTCCTTAGTCCCAGATGTGTACATTTCAAAAATGTCTTAAGGGCAACTGGAGATGCTTCTTCATCCTTTCAGCAAGAACCGGTACTTCAGATTTCCCTCTGTCACCTCTACCTGGGTCCAGGGCACAGAAAACCTGGAGAAGTAAAAGAAAGGTGTTTGGGGATTGCCCAACAGTGGCTACTCTGTTTTTCTCAGAGCTTGATAATGACTGATTTTTAACTCCCACACAACTGGTGCTGATTTATACACAACCTTGTAGCCTACTGGGACAGTTGTGGCATTAACCTGTAAATTCCTGTGGGCAGAGAGTTTTACCTTCTTGTTTCGGTTTCTTGGTAGCATCTGGAACCCCTAAAGGGCTAGAAGCCTGTAGGGTGAAAGTGAATGCCAGTTTTACAGCACACAAAGCCTGGTTTTTTTTTTTTGTTTTTTTTTTTTTTTTTTGCTAACTCTGGACCACCTTTGGCCCAGCTTTCCTCACCTGCACAAAAGGCTGATGAAAGTAACACCTACCTCACAGGCACTCGTGAGGCTTGGTGAGATAATGTCTGGAAATGCAATGCACTTTGGAACCCTTGACAAATGTCGGGTTTTGTTAATAATCGCTTACATTTTATTAAACATATTATAATGCATTGTCATCCACATAGACCATCAAACTAGCAAAGGAAACCTGAAGCGCAAATGATTTGCTCAAGGTCAGCCAAAGTCCAAGGTGAACAGCATAATATAAATATGTACCCAATACCCGTGTCTCTGTCTCTCTCTTTAGAGGTTGAAGTGCTCAGCACAGACAAGCCAAAATATTCGAAATTCTAGCCCAAGGACCCAAATCAAGGCAAGAAGGGATGGCTACCTTGTACCAACCTTGACCCAGGAATGGCGAGGACCTGGGAGGAGCTTCCTGCTCTGTGACCACACCTTCTGACTTCCCTAGCAGTAAAGTACCAGAGGCAGTGGGTCTCAGGGACTGCCTTGTGGAAATCCCCTGATTACTGTAGACTGGCTGGGAACCTCCCTTTGAGGCCCAAGCTCACATATGAGTGGAGGGTTAGAGATAGGCACACCTATGGTCTTCACGGCCACCGGCCACCTCAACGTGGCCCCGCCTACTCCAAGCCTTCCTCCGGTTCTAGCTACTTGTTGAGGATTTGAATATTTGTCCCAACTGAATCAATAGCACTCTTGTCTGGCTCTTCCACCACTTTTTCCCCTAGGGCCGTTTCCCTGGACAGCTCATTCCAGGCTTTTTAGGGGAGCAGGGAGAAAACACACACACACACACACACACACACACACACACACCAGCTTTTGCTGAGGCAATGCTGGGCTACACACACACACACACACACACACACAAACACACACACACACACACCCACACACACACACGGCAATGCTGGGCTCCACCCCCCCCACACACACACACCAGCTTTTCCTGAGGCAATGCTGGGCTCCCCCATGCCCTGGCACGCTGGTAAGAGGATGTCGGGAGGCAGGAACTAGACTCCACTACCCCCACTCCTGCGCCTTTCTTCCCCTCCCTGATCTCCGCCCCTCCAGGAAGAAAACAGCCAGAGACCGGATCGTTCTTTCCGCCACTGTGCCAACCCCAACCATTATGCCCGCCCTCCCTTGCCTTCTCCCCAGTTTCGCTCAGAGCGCCCGCCTTGCCCATGCGCCCGAGGCTGGGCAGGTCTTGGCGAGCGGTGTAAGTTCAGCTCCCCAGGGCTTCTCGGCGGCGAATCACGTTGTTCCTGGGATTTCATGCTCTAGTGGCTCTTGTGTAACCCTATGCCCTGGCCTAACTCAATACTTTTTTTTTTTTTTTTTAAAATACCAGGATTAATCCTTTAGGGAAAGACAAATACTTCCGCCACAGATCCGACCAGGGAGTAAATGTGTAAATCACCCAGCAGCCTCCAGCTCCCATGGCCCCTTTGCTCGGGTCTGCAAGGCACAGTAACCTGCAGCACCCCTGGGGTTCCTAGTGCCAGACGATCCCAGGCCTCCATAAGGCCAAAGGAGGGGCCCAACCCACACGTTTGTTTTCATCTACTTTTAAGCGGCTCCCGCAGGCCAAAGAACAGGGACCTGCTTACTGCCCGGCTGTGTTACCAAAAAAGGCTTTTCTCTCTGCGGAGCGCTTGGCGGCGCGCGTTGCAGCGGGGTGACGCGAGGTTCAGCTTCGGCCTGGAGAGCCAGCAGGCCAAGAGCACCCCTGCCCCCGTTCCATTTCGGTTCCAAACTGCTGGGGCTGTTGAGGGCGGGCGGGAGTCGCTGAGATGCATAGAAAGAAGTGCCTAAGATCCTGGCAACCTTCACAACCCTAACACTGGGCCGTGTTGCTCAGGAAAGGCCAAGTGGAAAGCTGACCTTTTGCTCCAGTTTAGAACAGTGTTCTCTGAAGATGCTATGGCAGATGGCTAGCTGAGGAGAAACAGGGCTATTAAGACAGGACTTCGATTTGTGGGGTTAGGGCTAGCATTTTGTAGCTTGCTCTGCTAGTCTCTGCAACTGGTGCACCCCAGAACATAGCACCAGAGTTCTGTTATCTCTGCTCCCCTACCTCTCACCTCCCTGATCAGTTCTTCCCAGGAGATCACAGCATTGCTGCAGGGGCAGAGGAATGTATCTCCAAACATTGGAGTTGTCACCTCCCCAGTCACTGATGCATCCCCAAAAAGGGCCTTCTGAGACAAGCAGTTAAAAACCAATTTATCACCGAGAACGATAGTGATTCTTTTTGAGGAGGTATAGAGAGTTACTATTTTTAAATAAAAGGATTATGAGACTGTGGGCTGTAATGGGATTCTGTTTAAATGCATACTGATGGCTAAGCTCGCTATGTTCGGAGATAACCGTGTGTGTGTGTGTGTGTGTGTGTGTGTGTGTGTGTGTGTGAGAGAGAGAGAGAGAGAGAGAGAGAGAGAGAGAGAGAGAGAGGGGGGGCGGGGGGAGAGGGGGGTGGCCACATAAAGACAGAGACAAAACTGTAAAAGTGAAGACAGAGACAAGGAGATGGTACACTGTGGCAATGGAACTCAACTTGCTTTCTCTACCTGCCTGGCTGGAGGTTTATGGCTAAGCTGCTATTCCTAAAGTATTTTTGGTTTGGTTTGGTTGTTTGGTTTTTAAAGACATAGTTGCTCTGTGTAACAGCCCTGGCTGTCATGGAACTCACTATTTAAACCAGGCCGGCCTTGAACTCACAGAGATCTGCCTGCCTCTACATCCCAAGTGCTGGGATCAAAGGTGGGTGCCACCACCACCCAGCGCAGTTTTGGTTTAATAACAAGAAAAATAGTGGAAATAAATGGGACATCCAGCCAAGCCAAAGTTCAGGAGTCCCAGGCTGGTAGGGATTGTTGAGCCCTGTGTTGTGACTCACTCAAGGGTGGCTGTGGCACGAAGAAGGCTGAAGTCCAAGGGTAAGGAAGCACTCCCTGAGAGGCTCTATGCACATGACTCTGCCCCACGCCAGCTAGCCTGCCAGGCAAAGTCTATTATTGCCCTACAGCACACAGTGAGCTCGCTGTTTTTGCAAAACCAGAAACTGGGTTGCTCTGAGATGAAAGAGAGGCTCCCTATGGGCTTCCTCTTCCTCCCTTTCTCCATATCCTTACAAGCTCTACTTTCCTTTGCATTTGGAACCCAGAACGGAAGGTCTAGATGCTAGGAAATGCTGACTAGCATCGGGAGATCAAATGTCAAAATAAAAGTATTTCTTGTTGCTTCAACTGACTGTAACAGTGATCATAAATAATGATCATAATGCCTCATGAACTTTAATACTTTCACAGGGAAGCCAGTGACAGTTTCAATATCATTATCAATACTAGTATCCAACACTGGCAGCTTCTGGGGAATGCAATAATGTGCTCTCCATACTGTATGGTACATGTATGCTTCACTCTGCAGCAGTGTTGCTTGACAGCTTCTCTATGTGGAAGAATTCAGTGGTACAGTCCAGAGGGGGATTCGAGGGGCTCATTATGAATGTGCATTTACACAGCACTTTATATACAAGTTATATGCAACAAAGAACGGGGTGCTAGTGGGAAATGTGAGCACCCTACACCATCCCTGGCAGTCTTAGCTTGTGTGCACTGCGTCTCAAATCAAATTTACTGGATTTAGATTCCAGGCCAGCTGCAGCAGCTGTAGACAAGTTATTTCAACCTCTTTATTTTCCTAGTCTGCAAAATGGAATAGAATATACTTTGTAGAAAACATTAAGGGTTTAGTAATGTTAAAATACAGCTTCATGTTATGTCTCTACATTGTAATGAAAATAATACTAAGGTTGATACAAAGGAACCACTTGTCCAGTACCTATCCCAGAGTCACTTGTCACGGATGACAAGAAACAAGCTGAAATCTTCAACAACCCATCAAGCTGGGGGAGATAAATCCATTTTGCAGAAGAAAAAGAGATGATACAAATAGAGCTCAAGGTTACAAAGCCAGTAGTAATAGTGAGGAAATTCCAACCCTGTAGGCAGAACCCAGCCCTATCAAATCACCTCCCCTCCACCAGCCTTCCACAGGGATTATCCTAATTTACATAAGAAAAAGGCAAACCTAATAAATAGGAGAATCAGCTGAAATGCCCCAGCCAGAGCTAAGACCAACCCTATCTGTTTCTACAATGAGCAATAATGATGAGCAGTGATCTTACACGGGAGAAGAAACCGTGACCTCCCAGAGCGTACTGGGGCAGTGTGGAATTAAATCACAGCACGCCGGAGGAACTTTCAAAACTGCCTATGCTTTATTTATTTATGGTTCTAAGGATTGAGTTCGGAGCCTCGGTCATCCTGAACAAATGCTCCCTCGCTGAGCTACGATCCTAGCTCTAGCAATCAGTATTATTAAATGCTGCCCCGTTTTATGAAACCCAGAAAAACCACTCACCTGTTTGGCAAATTCTTCACTCCCCATTCCCTGCCTCAAGTGCGGCTGTATGCAGCCAGTTGACTGTTTTCCTCAAGGCCTCAGAATGCTCATAGCTCACAGCCAAAAAACTTTATATAGAGTTTGGCCAAGGGGAGGGGTGGCTCATTTAGTACCATCCTCGAAACTCCGACTGATTCTCAGGCCAGGTCACAAAAACAAATCTAAAAGGTAATTTCTGGAAGATTGGAGAAGGGCTAATTCTGCAGGTGTTTGAGCACCACTGGTGGCAAGGAATGTAACATTAATGGGGGAGGGAGCTCTCATCACAGATGAAATAGGTAATACCTTATATGAAATTTAATTTTACTGCCTAGGGTTTGGGGGGTGGGGAACGGGAATCGGAAACAACACTCGTGGCTCTAAATTTTTTTTTTTTAAATTGGGAAAGCCAGGCAGGAAAAGGAAAGGTCATTGTCTGTATACACACACACACACACACACACACACACACACACACACACAGGCATGCACGCACACTCATTGAGACACAGACAGACACAGACACACACACAGACACACACACACAGACACAGACAGACAGACACACAGACAGACAGACAGACACACACACACACACACACCCCACACACACACACACACACACACACACCCACACACACCCACACACACAGAGGCGCGCGCCAGCCCAGGGCTTGCAGCATTAGCTCGCCGGGCCTCAGCTGTGGTACACACACAGCCGAGGGGGGGAAGGGAGGGGAAGGCGGAGGCGCGGAGGAGGGGCCGACAGGGAGGAATCTGGGCATCCTGCCGCGCATGCGCCTTTCGCGAGCAACAAGTGGGCTCCACAGACAGAGGAAGTGTAAAGGGGGGGTGGGGGACGGGTGCAGAGCATGGCGGTGACGTCAGCGCTCCGCCCGGGCGGCATCCCGCGCGGCCAAGCCGGGGACAGCGCGAGCCGCAGCCCGAGCAGGAGCGCTGAGACGCGCCTCCGGAACGTAGAGTAACAATCACAACCCCACATTCCAGGCGAGCGCGAGCGGGAAGGGATGCGACCCGGGTGGAGGCGCCGAGCGAGCGCCGTGCAGCCAACGTGAGCGCCGCCAGCCTCTGTGGCCGGAGAGCTGGCCAGGCCAGGGGGCGGTGGGAGCCTGCGTGCGTGCGCTCCTCTCTCTGCTCTCGTGTGTCTTGGAAACGGTGGCCGCGGCTGCTCCCTCCGGCGTGCAAACCCAGGCGCCGCCAGCGCAACGGCCGACGCTGCGAAGGGGAAACTCTTCCTCTTGGCGGCCACCTCCTCCCCCGGCCCTCCCGGGGAATCAGCGGCTTCAGCAAGATTGGACCTGGGCACCGGGTGGCACAGCTCTCTAACCCTCTCCCCGGGGCGCCTGGCGTAGAGAGGACTCAGATCGTA